TTAAAAATTTTAATTCTAGTATAATTAGTGTATAGTGTTATATTACTTTCAGGTATACAATATATTGATTCATCAATTACTGAACAACATTATTCATTTCTCATCATGTACTCTTAATTTCCTTCATCTATTTCACCCATCCTTGCCTCCCCGCCCCCAACCATCAGTTTGTTCTCTATAGTTAAGAGTCTGGTTTTTTTGTCTCTTTTTTTTTCTTTGTTTCTTGGTTTTATTTCTTAAATGCCACATTTGAGTGAGGAATGGTATTCGTCTTTCTCTGACTGACATTTCACTTAGCATTATACCCTCTAGTTCTATCCATGTCATTGCAAATGGCAGGGTTTCACTCTTTTATGGCTGAGTCATATTCCACCATATATTTACACCACCTCTTCTTTATCCATTCATCTATGGGTCGGCACTTGGGTTGCTTCCATAATTTGGGTTTCATAAATAATGCTGCAATAAACACAGGGGTGCATATATCTTTTCAAATTAGTGTTTTCATATTCTTGGTAAATACCTAGTAGTACAAGTGCTGGATTATATGGTAATTACATTTTTAATTTTTTGAGGGCCTTCCATACTGTTTTCCACAGCGGCTGCATCAGTTTACATTCCCACCACCAATACAGGAAGGTTCCTCTTTCTCCACATCCTTGCCAACACTTGTTTTTTGTGTTTTTGATTTCAGTCATTCTGACAGGTGTGATGATGTAGCTCATTGTGGTTTTGATTTGCATTCCCCCATGATGAATGATGTGGAACATCTTTTCATGTGTCTGTTGGCCATCTGGATATCATCTTTGTAGAAATGTCTGTCCATGTCTTCTGCCCATTTTTAAATTGGATTATTTGGGTTTTTTGGTATTGAGTTGTATAAGTGCTTTCTGTATTTTGGATACTAACTTCTCATTGAATATGTCATTTGCAAATATCTTCTTTAATTCTTTAATTCAGTCGGTTGTCTTTTTTTTTAAGATTTTATTTATTTATTCATAGAGACACAGAGAGAGAGAGAGAGAGGGAGAGGGAGAGGCAGAGACACAGGCAGAGGGAGAAGCAGGCTCCATGCAGAGAGCCCGACGTGGGACTCGATCCAGGGTCTCCAGGATCACGCCCTGGGCTGCAGGCGGCGCTAAACCGCTGCGCCACCGGGGCTGCCCGAGTCGGTTGTCTTTTAATTTTGTCAATTGTTTCCTCCACTGTGTAGAAGGTTTTTATTTTGATGTAATCTGAATAGTTTATTTTTGCTTTTGTTTCCCTTGCCTTAGAAGACATATCTAGAAAAAAATGTTGCTATGACTGATGTCAGAGAAATATTGCCTGTGGTCTTTTCTAGGATTTCTATGGTTTCCTATCTCACATTTAGGTCTTTAACATATTTTGAACTGATTTTTTTTTTGAACTGATTTTTATATGTGGTGTAAGAAAGTGGTCTAGTGCATGTAGCTGTTCATTTGTTCAACACCACTTGTTGAAGAGACTTTTTCCCATTGCATATTCTTGCTTCCTTTGTCAAAGATTAATTGACTATGTAATTGGGAGTTTATTTCTGGGCTCTTAATTCTGTTCTATTGATCTATGTGTTTATTTTTGTGCCAGTATCATACTGTATTGACTACTGCAGCTTTGCAGTATATCTTGAAATCTGGGATTGTGATGCCTCTGGCTTTCTTCTTCTTTTTCAAGATCAATTTGACTATTCAAGGTCTTTTATGGTTCCATACATATTTTAGGATTATTTGTCTAGCTCCATGAAAAATGCTGTTGATATTTGGTAGGGCTTATATTAAATTTGTAGGTTGCTTTGGGTAATTTAGACGTTGTAACAATATTTGTTCTCCTAATCTGTGAGCATGGAATAGCTTTCCATTCGTTTGTGTCATCATTTTGAAGTGTACAATTCAGTGGTATCAAATACATTCAGAATTTTGCCTTCATCCTGAACAGACCCTCTGTGTGGCAGTAACTCCTCATGCCTACCCACCCCCAATCCCTGGTAACTTTTACTTTCTGTTTCTATGAGTTTGCTTATTCTCTATTTCATATAAGGGGAATTACACAGTATTGTGCCTGGCTTCCTTCACACTGCAGCCTGAAACAGGTGTTCATTGATACTCATCTCACTGTGTGGCATTCCCTTTGACTCATTGCAAACCTCTGCACCACCGAGCCTGATTGACTGCCAATCCCATTGGTGCTTTTACAACAGTGGCTTTTACATCCAATCCCTCTCTCTCTCTCTTTAAGATTTATTTATTTGAGAGAGAGAGAGTGCGCGCGCGCAGGAGAGAGAATCTGAAGTGGACTCCATGCCAAGCCTGGAGCCTGATGCAGGGCTCAATCCCATGACGGGAGTATTAAGACCTGAGCTGAAACCAAGAGTCAGACTCTTAATCAACTGAGCCACCCAGGTGCCCCCTCCAACCTCTTTCACACAGCCACCTCACTGCTCCATGCCCTGTGATTCCATCCAGCACAACACTGTCAGACAAGTATTCTTCCAACACCAATATTACCCCTTCTGTTCAGGAACCTTCAGTGCCTCCCCTGCCCTGTCCTTCTCAGTCCCTGACTATAGGGAAACCTCACCTTGGCCTTTATGGTCTTCCACGATCTTTATTGATTGGCCTTTGCATCCTTAGATCCATGGCTAAGTGCAGATTTTGCTTAGCGGAGGATTGACAGCACACAAGGAGGCTGGACATAAAACAGAGCAAAAGACATCACCAGAGAGGGAGGTGGGGAATGACTCAAAGCTGAGGCACCAACACTGCAGAGAGAAGCTGCAGGTTCTTCCCAGGGCTGCCATGCCTGTGGGAGGGCCTGTTGTTTTGTTTTTTCCTCTTCAGCTTTATTGAGATGTGATGGACATACAACATTGTGTAAGTTTAAAGTGTACAGTGAATTGATTTGACACACTCTTATATATTGCAAAATGATAGCTGCCATAGAGTAGTGAACACCTCCATCATACCACATATTTGCCATTTCTTTTTCTCATGGTGAGAACATTTAAGAGCGATTCTCTTAACAACTTTCAAATATATTATAAATTATTGTTACTATACTCAACTGGGGAGGCTCAATTCCCACAACAACCACGCTCCCTCCTCCACCCTCATCTAGTTTCCATCTTCTCTCCACACTCCCCATCCTGCACCCTCCCTCTTACAGCCTTCTCCTTTCCCCCCTCCTTCCTCTTCCTCCTGCTTTCCTCCTCTTGCCTTCAGCTTGCAGCTTCCATCCACGTGCCCATCAGATGGTCTTGTCCTTCTCCACGGTTGTCTTTTATGTGAGGCCTGTGGATACAGAGCTACGAGCCACTGATCCTGCCTTCAAGAGTCTTACAATCTGCTTAGTGAGGTGAGGCTCACACAGCAAAGAATCACTAACAGCCAGATGTTAGAACCAGGTGAGTGGCATGGACAATAGTGTGTAGGATCAGAGCAAAGAGGTAAGCATGAGCCAGGGCCGTTTAGCCCCTTGAGGGGACAATTGGGGCATATAAACTGAACACTGAAAGGAGACGCAGCCTCAGGGGAGGAAGGAGGAGTGGTGTGAGCCAAGACCAGAAACAGGAATGTGCAGTGGATTTGGTCACACTGGCTACCATCTGAATGCCAGGCTAAGGAGGCTGAACAAGATGGTATGTGTAGAGCTTCACTGCTCAGACACAGAGATGAGAAGCTCTGGGGACTGGCTAAGGAAGGGCCACACCAGAGAGGAGTGATTGAGTCCACTAATTTGGATTGTAGTCAAATAATTTCTTTGAATATAATTTAATGATTCATTGTGATTCACTGCAGACTCAGTGTTCTGAATCTTCAGTTATACTTGGGGCAGTGATGGGACCATAGTCACATCCAAACTCAAGAAGGGCATGTCAGAGAGATAGATGGGCAAGACTCAGGACTAGTGTTTGGGAGACCTGACACCGGACTAGCTGGCTGTGCCTGCAAACAGCTGTGTGACCCTGGTTAAGTCACTTACCCTCTCTGGGTCACATATTCTGGATTGGAAAATGGGAGGCCAGGACTAGTTCAGAAATGTTTCCAGTGAAGACTAGCTAAAGCCCAATATGTAAAGCCGATGAAAGGGATCTGTCAATTGCTATTCTCTGCCCATAATGACCTCTAGGAGCTGAGCCTAAAAGTCAGCAGAGCACCTGGCTGGCTCATTCGGTGGAGAGTGCGACTCTTGATCTAGAGTTGTAATTTCAAACCCCATGTTGGGTATAGAGTACTTTAAAAAAAAAGTCCCGGAGAAAGTTCCTTCAAACTGGCACTTTTTGTGACAACAAAATCCAAGACATCTAGGATTATACTCTGGGTCTATTTAGAGGGGGTCTGTAATTTCAGGTCTGTTTGTGAGAAAAGAATAGTTTTCACCTAAGCACCCCCCTGAAGGCCTTCCTAGCTTTAAATAAAAATCTGCCTCTGCTTAGTCATATATAACCCATCTTTATTTATTTTTACCCCTAAAATGTAATAAGCACTGACAATGGATAAAAGCTTTTGCTAATTATTCTAAGGGCACAAAAAGAAATCGAATATCCTGTCCTCTTTCCAAATGTATGCTATTTTTTTTTTCTTACACAATTCTCAGGCTCTTTTTCAATACTAGGTTTTCTATTTTAACATGAAGTTTAAAAGAATCTCCCACGCTTTTCTTGTATCCTCCTCTTTTCTGTGCTCTACCCCACTGCTCACCAGCACTGGTGAGAAGAGGAACAGAGAAAGAATTGGAATCATCAACTCAATGGGCTGGTCTTTGCCAACGATAATAACCAGCATGCAAAGACTGGCTGGCTGAGATGTATGTGTAGAAGGGATGATCTGTGGGCGGAGTGAGGTGCACTCATGGGAGCTGAGTGGCTCTCTCACCCATTACATTTCCACTCTGTTCTTATTTTCTGTTCTCTAAAATACTAGAGAAACCCCTGCCAATCCATAGGTCATTAAATCTAATCTGTCTGTCTCTTTTCATGACCCCAGGAAAAAAGAGGAAGATTTGCAGACCTGTTGGATGCTAAATATTTACGGACCACGTTACAGATCTGGGTCATATGGTAAGAACAAAATTATTTCAAAATGACTTTTCAATAAACACAAAACTGACTTAAGCAAATCCAGTCTGTGCCAGTGGGGAGAAAAACGCCAAGGCGACTCCAGCCATGTCTTCTCTTTCTGCTACCACGACCAACCAGCCAATAAATAAAACTTTTATTTTATTTTTTTTTTAAAGAAAAGGAAATTGTCTCTGACTAGTTTTTTATTTTTCATATAAGCTCACTTTCTAACCTTTTGTAGTCTGGCCTTTATCCTCACCACATGACAAAAAGTGATCCTTTGAAGTCACCAATAATCAAATTCAATAGAATAGACTCTGGTGGTTTTCTTTGTGCTTCACTTCTCTGAAGCCATGATCTTGAGTAGACAAAGATTTTCTAAACACGATACAAAAAGTGCTATTACATTAAATTAGGAACTCTGTGCTGTGAGATATCAGAAAGAATCTGAAAGATAAGGCCACCAACTGAGAGAAGAAATGTCAAAAATATATATCTAATAAATTTTTATCTACATAAGACTATAAATATGTGTAAAATTATATATGTAATTTTTTCCAACAAGAAAAGGACATACAAACCAGTAGAGAAATAGGCAAGACACTTGAACTGGCATTTGATCAAAAATTGTATCAAATAAATACATGAAAACATGCTCAACCTTAAGGTCACCAGGGAAATGCAAATTAAAACCAGTAAGACACCATTACAATTCCCCTGGGACGGCTAAAATAGATTCACTATACCAGCTGTTAGGAAGAATGTAAAGTAACTGGAACTCTCACACACTGATTAGAGTTCAAATTAAAACCCTGGGTGGCGCAGCAGTTTGGCGCCTGCCTTTGGCCCAGGGCACGATCCTGGAGACCCGGGATCGAATCCCACATCAGGCTCCCAGTGCATGGAGCCTGCTTCTCCCTCTGCCTATGTCTCTGCCTCTCTCCCTCTCTCTCTGTGTGACTATCATAAAAAAACAAAACAAACAAACAAACAAAAAACACCTGAGAAAAGTCCTTAGGGGTATTTATCACAGTTGAAAATATGCTTAGCCTATGGCTGGTAATTCCATTCATAGGTTCCATTCAACAGAAATGCATACATAGGTTTACCAGAATACATTTGCATGAATGTCCATAGCGTTATTTTATTTGTAACAGCCCCAAGCTCGAAACCACCCACATGTCCATTATACTGTTGTATAGTAGATACATGGTGTTACGTTCATAAAATGGATTATACAATAATGAGAATGAGAAAACTAGTTATCTGCATCCAACATGGCTGAGTCTTATAAACCTCATAGTGAACAAAGGAAGCCAGACACACAGATCCGTATTATGAACATCCGTTTACATAAAGATAGAAAGCAGGCAAAACTAATCTATAGTGTTTCAGTTCAGGAAAGTGTTTATCTGCCTTTCTCAGAGATACTCATTAATAGCTGGTATGTCACCTCTTAAGACTTTAATTTTTAAAATACTCTTAATATTTGGAAATTGAACTAAAGCTACTTTAATAACAAGGGGAGTATTGTAATTATTGGGTTTTTTTCTGATATTTGTTATGAAAATTTTCAAATGCACACAAAAGTAGAGGATATCATGATGACCTCTGATTGACCCATCACCCATATCTGACAGTCACTGATAGTCACTCATGTTTGCTATGGCTGTGTTTTCCTGTGCTGACAGACTTTCAGGCAAGCCCAGGCTTTGTGACATTTCATCTCCAGATACTTCATTAAGAGTCTCAACTATTTGAGGACACTTTTCTTTCTTTTTCTTTTTTTGATTTTATTTTATTCATGAGAGACACAAAGAGAGAGAGAGAGAGAGAGAGAGAGAGAGAAAGAAAGAAAGGCAGAAACGTAGGCAGAGGGAGAAGCAGGCTTCCTACAGGGAGCCCGATGCGGGACTTGATCCCAGGACCCCAGAATCATGACCTGAACCAAAGGCAGATGCTCAACCACAGAGCCACCCAGGTGCCATGAGGACATTTTCTTAGATGATCCCAATCCTACAATCAAGGGACAAGTTTAATAATCATCTCACTGAATATCAGCTGATACCCAGAACATGGGCAATTTCCCCTGGTTGTCCCTCTATGTCTTTCACAGCTGGCTTTGCTTTCTCTCTCTTTCTCAAATAAAATCTTTAAAAATAAAAAAGTAGGGCAGCCCCGGTGGCTCAGTGGTTTAGCGCCGCCTTCAGCCCAGGTCGTGATCCTGGAGACCTGGGATCGAGTCCCACGTCAGGCTCCCTGCATGGAGCCTGCTTCTTCCTCTGCCTGTGTCTCTGCCTCTCTCTCTCTCTCTCTTTCATGATTAAATAAATAAAATCTTAAAAAATAATAAAAAATAATAAAAAAGTAAAATAAAAACTAGTTCATTAAAAAAAAAAAAAGTGAGTCCAAGCTTCAAACTCCTTCACTGGCTGTGGGTTCCCCGGGACCTGGCCCCAGGCTGTGCTTGCAAATTCCTTTCCCATCCAGGTTCCCCTGCAGGCCACCCTCAGGCTCTCCAGGGTAGGTGAGCCCAGCCTCTGGCACCCTCCCTCCCTCTTGCCCCCCGCCCCGCCCCCGACCTGTCCCTCTGTGGCCACTGCCCCTTCTTCAGGCTGGCTGAGTGAAGTAATGAGCGACTCTGTCCCTTCCAGGCTGGGAATCTCCTTCGCCTACTACGGGGTCATCCTGGCCAGCGCCGAGCTGCTGGAGCGGGACCTGGTGTGTGGCTCGCGGTCCAAGGCCGAGGTGGTGGTGACCGTGATGGACACGGAGGAGAGCCAGAGCCCCTGCCACTGCCACATGTTTGCTCCCTCCGACTACAGGACCATGATCATCAGCACCATTGGCGAAATTGCTCGTAAATATCTCCTCAGTGTTTTGGGTCCCTGCCTGTTTGGGGGTGAGAAGTGGGACCTGTCATAGATGTGGCTCCTGCCTGGTGGAGCTGAACAAGTCTGCACACCTTGCTCATGTGTCACCAATGCAGATGGATGTGGGAAGCCTGGAGGAGTAGAGCTTGGAATTACTATGTTGTATCAGTTCTAAGATGCTCCCCCGCCCCTTTCTGGCGTCTCTGCAATTGGGGTGTGTCCTACCATGGCTTGTTAGGTCTCCATTCACAGCACTGTTTGCATTTTGGTAGACATGAAATAATAGTACTTAAAAATCAGCGGCACTTTGAATTTGATGGAAAACAGCTTAGACCATTTCAAAGATAGATCTAGCCCGTTTGCAATTCACAGTAGACCTATGTGCTATAATAAGCATCTTGGGTGTAAAATACCCTTTACCTACACACCAGTGCTTGTCCTTCTTGGACCTACAGGAGAAAGCACACTGAAGGAGTCCTGACGTTGATGACCATGTGACTGGCTTTTGGCTGGAACACACATGAGGATGAACTTGCCTTTTTCTGACGTGACAATGAGGAATCCTTGCCAATGTTGGTAAATGCCATTTGCTTTCCAAGGTTTCAGAAATTGTCATTGTCATTTGTTTTCTAGTGAATCCTGTCAATATCCTGGGCATTAATTTCCTGGGAAGACGGCTGAGCCTTTCTATCACCATGGGCTGCACAGCTTTGTTCTTCCTTCTCCTCAACATTTGCACATCGAGGTATTTTCTCTCTGGTTGCTGCAAAACAATCTAGTTTTGTGCAGTGGATTTGAGTTGTGGTTTCCTGACCTGTTAGTGTTCAGTGGGCATTGAGGCAAGTCCTTTTCACCAGGAGAGTAGTGAATGGGCTGCTGGTTTAACTGGAATGGTCGTTCCTGGTACCCATCACTCCTTCTTCCCTCTTCCACCGACTGGGCCCTGCCTCCCCATCCCAGGGTACAGGTGTGAGTGTGTTTGCACCCATGCACTTATCCCACCCACCAGGATATTTAGGATCTTTATGCAAAGCTTCATGGAACGTCAGGACTCCAGCTGTCTACCAAACTAGCTGGACCACCATTAGAATAGTTCAGAGAAATAGGTTACACACCTGTGGTGTCAAAATTCATTTCACTCTTACTCTGCAATCCTAGAATGTCCTCCATGATCATATGGATCATCCTGCAAACCGTACCCCTTTGGAGAGTGGTAGTAGAAGTTGTGCTAATCTAGGGGAGGCAAGCTGGAACGGCACACTTTGGGGGAGTGGGAAGGACAGACAGGGAGCTGGGTTGAAGGTTGGGGTCCAGCATTTACTTTAGGGAGGAAATCCAGAGAGATGAGAAGCAGCATCTCCTCAGGCTCTGGTTATCTGTGGGCGTCTGTAACACAGAGCTAGGTAGTGGAAGTACGTGTCAAGGCTGTAGAAAGACCTCCATGCTGCCTTTCCTAACTCCTCTGGCATCTTGTTCCCTAGCGCTGGCCTGATTGGCTTCCTCTTCATGCTGAGGGCTTTGGTGGCGGCCAACTTCAATACCATCTACATTTATACTGCTGAGGTCAGTTGTGGGTTGGTTTCTCCAAAGCACACAAGGTGAGCTACTTAGGCTGGCTGTCTATTCACAACGCATCCCTCGCTTCTGCTGACATTGGATGATTTTCTAAAAATAACCCCAAGAAAATGATACCAGGAGATTTATTCGATAGTTTCCTCTGCTCCGTAGAAGTCTAGTGAAAGACACTGCCTGAAAGGAAATGAAAGCTCTGCCTTTCTCATGACACAACATGTAGGTGAAAAAACAACTTGTTGTCCTGGCCTCATGCTATGTTCCCTCCATCTGTTATTTACCTCGTGTAGCTTAAATTTGAATATAATAGCCTAAATTTGAACGATAGTCTTTATGAATTGATTGAGTTAATACATCTGCCGTCTGCAAGTTCCTTCTACCTGAAGGAACTGGAGCATTACCTCCTAAACGTTCATCTTAGAGAGCTAGTGTTCCTAGAAATAAACAATATCTGAACAGAAAACATAACAGTATTTTAATTGTTTTTGTCCTTCATTGAGCTAGAGAAAATGGCACCTCAGAGACTGCTAAAGCTGCACTCCTCTTTTTTTTCCCCCTAAGCTTTTATTTAAAGTCCACTTAGTTAACATACCATCTAATATTAGTTTTAGGTGTACAATATAGTGATTCAGCACTTCCTCATAACACTTGGCATTGGGATCCCTGGGTGGCTCAGCGGTTGAGCGTCTGCCTTTGGCCCAGGGCGTGATCCCGGAGTCCTGGGATTGAGTCCCACCTCAGGCTCCCTGCATGGAGCCTGCTTCTCCCTCTGCCTGTGTCTCTGCCTCTCTCTCTCTCTCTCTCTTTCTCTCTCTCTCTCTGTGTCTCTCATGAATAAATGAATAAAATCTTAAAAAAAAACAAAAACACTTGGCGTTCATTATAACAAGCACCCCCCCCTTCTAGTAACCATCAATGTGTTCTCTGTAGTTAAGAATCTGTTTCTTCATTAGTCTTTCTTTCCCCCACCCCCATGTTCATTTGTTTTGTTTCCTAAATTCCACAGAGGAGTGAAATCATATGCTATTTGTCTTTCTCTGACTGATTTCACTTAGCATAATATTCTCTTTTTTAAATTTTTATTTATTTATGATAGTCACAGAGAGAGAGAGAGGCAGAGACATAGGCAGAGGGAGAAGCAGGCCCCATGCCCCGGGAGCCCGACGTGGGATTCGATCCCGGGTCTCCAGGATCGCGCCCTGGGCCAAAGGCAGGCACCAAACCGCTGCGCCACCCAGGGATCCCCATAATATTCTCTATCTCCATCCACGTTGTTGCAAACATCAACATTGCATTCTTCTTGACAGCTGAGTAATATTCCATTATGTGTATATACCACATCAATTTATCAGTCAATGGACATTTGGGCTCTTTTCATAATTTGACTATTGTAGACATTGCTATTTATAAACATTGGTGTGCACGTATCCCTTCAAATCAGTATTTTTGTGTCCTTTGGGTAAATACCTAGTAGTGCAATTGCTGGATCATAAGGTAGGTTCTATCTTTAACTTTTGTAGGAAACTCCATACTGTTTGAGAGTGGCTGCACCAGTTTGCATTCCCACTAACAGTGTAAGAGGGTTCCCCTTTCTCTGCATCCTCACCAACATCTGTGGTTTCTGGACTTGTTAATTTTAGCCATTCTGACTGGTATGAGCTGGTATGTCATTGTGGTTTTGATTTGCATTTCCCTGATGAGCATTGTTGAGCATTTTTTCATGTGTCTGTTAATCATCTGTATGTCTTCTTTGGGAAAATGTCTATTTTTCTGTGCATATTTATTTATTTCTCTGTGCACTTTTAAACTGGATTGTTTTGGTTTGGATGTTGAGTTTGATAAGTTCTTTATATATCTTAGATACTAACTCTTTATCAGGTATGTCATTTGCAAATATCTTCTCCTATTCCACAGGTTGCTTTTTATTTTTTTATTTTATTTTTTCACAGGTTGCTTTTTAGTTTGGTTGTTTCCTTCACTGGGCAGAAGCTTGTTATTTTGATGAAGTCCCAGTAGTTTATCTTTGCTTTTATGTCCCTTGCTTCAGGGTACGTACCTAGTAAGAAGTTGCTATGGCTGATGTCAAAGAAGTGACTGCCGGTGTTCTCCAGGATTTTAGTGCTTTACTATCTCACATTTAAAATGAAAATCTATTTTGATTTTATTTTTGTGTGTGGTGTAAGAGTGGTCCAGTTTCATTCTTTTGCATGTTGCTGTCCAGTTTTCCCAACACTATTTGTTGAAGAGATGATCTTTTCCATTGGCTATTCTTTCCTGCTTTGTCAAAGATTAATAACTGATCATATATTTGTGGGTTTATTTCTGGGCATTCTATTCTGTTCCAGTGATCTTTTTTTTTTTTTTTAATGCCAGCACCATGCTGTCTTGATCACTACAGCTTTGTAATATAGCTTGAAGTCCAGAATTGTGGTGCCTCCAGCTTTACTTTTTCAAGATTGCTTTAGCTAATCCGTCTTTTGTGGTTCCATATAAATTTTAGGATTGTTTGTTCTAGCTCTGTGAAAAACACCAGTGGTATTTTGATGGGGATTTTATTAAATGTGTAGAAATAAAAGCAATTTTATTAAATTGCTTTGCTTTTTATTATTAAAATACAGGTATTTTAACAATACTTGTTCTTCCAATCCATGAGCATGGAATATTTTTCTGTTTCTTTGTGTCATCTTCAATTTCTTTGTGTTTTGTAGTTTTCAGAGAACAGGTCTTTTACCTTTTTAGTTAGGTGTATTCCTAGGTATCCAATGATTTTTGGTGCAGTTGCAAATGGGTTGATTCCTTAATATTTCTTTCTGCTGCTTCATTATTGGTGTATAGAAAAACAACAGATTTCTGTGTATTGATTTTGTGTCCTGCCACTTTACTAAATTTGTGTATCAGTTTTAGCAATGTTTTGGGGAAGTCTTTTGGGTTTTCTATAAAGAGTATCCTATCATCTGCAAATAGTATAAGTTTGACTTCTTCCTTGCTGATTTGAATGCCTTTTCTTTCTTTTTGATGTCTGATTGCTGAGGCTAGGATTTCCAGTACTATGTTGAGTAACAGCAGTGAGAGTAGACGTTCCTGTCTTGTTCCTGACTCTAGAGGAAAAACTATCAATTTTCCCCATTGAGAATGATATTAGCTCTAGTTTCTTATTTATTTATTTGTTTGTTTATTTTATTTATTTGTTTATTTATTTATTTAGTAAGTAAGTTAAGTATATGGCCTTTTTTATGTTGAGGTATGTTCCCTCTAACCCTACTTGGTTGAGAGTTTTTACCATGAGTGGATGTTGTCAAATGCTTTTTCTGCATCTTCTGAAAGGATCATATAGTTCTTATCCTTTTACTGATGTTGTGTATGTATCCTGTTCATTGATTGGCAAATAGTGCACCCTTGAAGGCAGGAATAAATCCCACTTGATCATGGTGGATGATTCTTTTTTTTTTTTCCTAATATTTTATTTATTCATTCATGATAGGCAGACAGAAAGAGAGAGGTAAAGACACAGGCAGAGGGAGAAACAGGCTCCATGCAGGGAGCCTGACGTGGGACTCGATCCCGGGTCTCTAGGATCATACCCTGGGCCGAAGGCGGCACTAAACTGCTGAGCCACACAGGCTGCCCAGGATGATTCTTTTAATATACTGTTAGATTTCATTTGCTAGTATTTTATTGAGAATTTTTACATCTATGTTCATGGATATTGGCCTATAGTTGTGTTTTTGGTGAAGTCTTTATCTGATTTTGCTGTCAGGATAATGCTGGTCTCATGGAATGCATGTGGAAGTTTTCCTTCTGTCTCTATTTTTTTTTAATAGTTTGAGAAGAATGGGTATTAACTCTTCTTTAAACATTGGTAGAATTCACCTGTAAAACCATCTGGCCCTGGATTTTGGTTTGTTGGGAGATTTTTGATTACTGATTCAATTTCTTTGCTGATTATGGGTCTGTTCAAGTTTTCTATTTTTTCCTGTTTTCATTTTGGTAGTTTTTGTTTTGAGGAATTTATCCATTTCTTTCAGGTTGTCCAATTTGTTGGTGTATAGTTTTTCACACTATTCTCTTGGACTTTGTACTTCTGTGTATTCATTGTTATTTCTCATCTCTGGTTTGTGATTTTATTTATTTGGGTCCTTTCTCTTTTCTTTCTGATAAGTCTGGCTAGAGGTATATTAATTTTATTTATTTTTTTAATTTTTTTTTATTTATTTACGATAGTTATACAGAGAGAGAGAGAGAGGCAGAGACACAGGCAGAGGGAGAAGCAGGCTCCATGCACCGGGAGCCTGACGTGGGATTCGATCCCGGGTCTCCAGGATCGTGCCCTGGGCCAAAGGCAGGCGCCAAACCGCTGCGCTACCCAGGGATCCCTATTAATTTTATTTTTGATTGAAACCAGCTGTTGGTTTCATCAATCTGTTCTATTTTTTTAGTTTATCATTTCTCTCTGCTCTAATCTTTATTATTTCTCTCCTTCTGCTTGCTTTTAGGCTTCATTTTTCTTTTTCTAGCTCCTTTAGATATGAAGTTGTTTGAGATTTTTCTTGCTTCTTGAGGTAGACCTGTATTGCTATAAATTTCCCTCTAATGACTGCTCTTGCCACATCCCAAAGGTTTTGGACCATTGTGTTTTCATTTTCCTTTGTCTCCATGTTTTTAAATTTCTTCAATTTCCTGGTGGACCCATTCATATTTTACTAGCATGTTGTTTAACCTCCATATACTTGTGGTCTTTTTTTTTTTTAAGGGTAGGAGAGTCTTTTTTTTTTTTAAGATTTTATTTATTTATTCATGAGAGACACAGAGAGAGAGGCAGAAACATAGGCAGAGAGAGAAGCAGGCTCCATGCAGGGAGCCCAATGTGGGACTCGATCCCAGGACTTTAGGATCATTCCCTGGGCCGAAGGGAGGCACTAAACCACTGAGCCACTCAGGCGTCCCTACTTGTGGTCTTTATAGATGTTTTCTGTGGTTGACTTTAAGTTGCTTAGCACTGTGACCAGAAAATATGCATGGTATGATGTTAATCTTGTTGAGACCTGATTTGTGACCTAGTAGGTGATCTATTCTTGGGGAATGTCCCATGTGCACTTGAAAAGAATGTGTATTCTGCTTAAGAATGGAATGTTCTCAATATATCTAAGTCCATCTGGTCCAGTGTGTCATTCAAAGCCATTGTCTCCTTACTGATTGTCTGATTAGATTATCTGTCCATTGATATAAGTGGGGTGTTAAACTCTCCTGCTATGACTGTATTATCATCAATGAGTTCCTTAGTTTGTTATTGTTTTATATATTTGGGTGCTCTGACTTTGGGGGCATCAATATTTATAAATGTTAGATCTTTTCGTTGGATAGACCCTTTATTATAGAATGTCCTTCATCTCTTGTTACAGTCTTTGGTTTAAAATCCTAGTTTAGGGATCCCTGGGTGGCGCAGTGGTTTGGCGCCTGCCCTTGGCCCAGGGCGTGATCCTGGAGACCCGGGATCGAATCCCACGTCGGGCTCCCGGTGCATGGAGCCTGCTTCTCCCTCTGCCTGTGTCTCTGCCCCCCCCCCCGTGTGTGACTATCATAAATAAATAAAAATTAAAAAAATATATATAAAATCCTAGTTTGGCTCTTCCCCCAAGCGGCCTGAAGTGACCTCCGAAAATGGTTCGCTTCTCACTGGACCCAGAAAACCCTACAAAATCATGCAAATTGAGAGGTTCAAATCTTTGTGTTCACTTTAAGAACACACGTGAAACTGCCCAGGCCATCAAGGGTATGCATATCCGAAAAGCCACCAAGTATCTGAAAGATGTCACTTTGCAGAAGCAGTGTGTGCATCACTACAATGGTGGAATTGGTAGGTGTGCACAGGCCAAACAGTGGGGCTGGACACAGGTCAGTGGCCCAAGAAGAGTGCTGGATTTTTACCACACATGCTTAAAAATGCAGAGAGTAATGCTGAATTTAAGGGTTTAGATGTAGATTCTCTGGTCATTGAGCACATCCAGGTGAGCAAAGCCCCCAAGATGCAACATAGAACTTACAGGGCTCATAGCTGGATTAACTCATACATAGCCACATCGAGATGATTCGTACTGAAGAAGAGCAGATTGTTCCTAAACCAGAAGAGGAGGTTGCACAGAAGAAAAAGATATCCCAGAAGAAACTGAAGAAACAAAAACTTATGGCCCAGGAGTAAATTCTGCATAGAATAAATGCAAATAAAAATAAATAAATAAAATAAAATCCTAGTTTGTCTAATATAAGTATTGCTGCTCTAGCCTTCTTTTGACATCCATGTCCATAATAAATGTTTCTCCTTCCCCTCAGTGTCAATCTGCAAGTGTCTTTAGGTTTAAAATGAGTCTCTTGTGAGCAGCATATAGGTGAGTCTTATTTTTTATCCATTCTGACACCTTGTCTTTTAGAACATTTAGTCCATTTATATTTTGAGTAATTTTTGATATGTATTTAGTGCCATTTTGTTACTTGTTTTGTAGTTGTTTCTGGAGTTTTTCTCTGTTCTTTTCTTCATTACTTTTGGTCTCTCCACTCAGAGTCCCCTTTTAATATTTCTTGCAAGGCTGGTTTAGTGGTCACAAACTCCTTTAGTTTTTGTTTGCCTGGGAAATGCTTTATCTTTTCTTCTATTTTGAATGACAGCCTTGCTGGATAGAGTATTCTTGGCTGCAGATTTTTCCCATTCAGCACTTTGAATATATCATGGCAGTCTCTTCCGGCTTGCCAAGTTTCTGTGGAGAGATGGGCAGCTAGCTTTATGGGCCTTCTCTTGTAAGTTAGGGACTTCTTTTGTGTTGCTGTTTTTAGGATTTTTTCTTTACCGCTGTAGTTTTGCAAATTTAACTACAATACATCTTGGTGCTGGCCTTGGTGTTGATTTTGATGGGAATTCTCTATGCCTCCTGCATCTGGATGCTGGTTTCCTTCACCAAATTAGGGAAGTTTTCAGCTATTTCCTCAAATTTTTACTGCCTTTTCTCTTCTTCTTCTGGCACTCCTGTGATAGGAATGTTACTATGTTTGAGGGAGTCACTAAGTGTGTCTGTTCTCGTGTTCCATAATTCTTTCTCTTTTGGCTTCATAATTTTCTACTTTATCTTCTATATCACTTACTCATTCCTCTGCTTCTCTAGCCTTGTTCAGTGCATTCAGTCTGTTTCTAGTACCAGTTACTGCATTTCTCATTTCTGACTTTTTAAAACTCTTCTGTCTCTGTGGTAAGGGCATCCCTGAAGTCCTCTATTCTTTTCTCAAGCCCAGGGAGTATCCTTATGATCATTGCATTAAGTTCTCCATCAGGCATGTTACTTACATTTGTTTCACTGAGATCTGCGGCCATGACCTTATCTTACTGTTTCATTTGTGATGAATTCCTCCATTTTGGCATTTTGTCTAAGTCTCTGTCTTCTGTGTTAGAAAAGCCTGTTAGAGTTTCCTGCTCCTGAGAGTAATGGCTTTATAAAAAAGTGGTCATACAGTGTCCAGGGATCGGCACTTCAGGGAGTGTCTCTGGTGTGTGCTGCGTGTGCTCTGCTGCTGTGTTATGGCTGCTCTATCCCTCAGGCCAGTTGTCTGCAGAGGCTCCTTGCCTGGAGTTCTTGGTCAGAATGTGGTGGGTTTTAACCACCAGAATGAGGTGCGCTCTGAGCTGCCTGTGAAATGAGACCTGCTGCTACTTCCACTAGAACTGAAGCCTTGGAGAACTGATTAGGATGTGTTGTGGGCAGGAATTTCTACTGGTCTTCTGAGGAAGGGTCCCACTGCACTGGGATTGAGGCATACTTGCCCCAGGAAGGCAGTCCCAGAGGAATGCAGAGGGGAAGCTACATTTGTTTTTATCTCAGGAAACATAGAAGTCTGTTCAGATTACGGATATAGCACATCCAAACCATTAAAGCCCCAGAGAAAAATGTTTCTTTTTTTTCTCCCCAGATAGATAAAAGAAGGGAATTGACATATTTGATCTGTGTAATATAAAGTTACATTTGAAATATTTAACTTGTTTTGGAAAAAATTCATTTAAGAGATCATTTCTAAGTAAATTTTGTGATACTTATTACCTAAAAAAAAGATCAAAGGCATGTACCCGAAGATGATGGTCTTCTATCATACCACTCAGAATTGTCAAAACATGAACAAAAGACTGATTTTCTTTGCTCTGATATCATCACTATGTATCTGAATCTTACTGTTTTCTGTTATAGCCAGCAGCTTCATTTTCCAGAAAAAAAAAAGCTCCTGAAAAAAGGCACTCTACTCCTAGACCTTTTCTTACAAATACAGCAATGTCCACTGAGTCCAGAATGCTTTTTGACTCTGCCTTTGGCAGATGGTGCTTAACAGAATGTGACTGAGTGGAGAGACTCTGTGCTTTGCTTTAGTGAGTGGATTGGTATTTTATAGCTTTAAGATAATTTTTAACTGCTGTAAAAATCACTCTTTCGTAAAGTGTTCTCACTATAAATTGTTAAGTACTATTTGCTTACGTATTAAACTTCTGCTAGTTCCTGGAAGAATTTAGGATTGATTAAGCACAGATTAATGAAGTCTTGGTGTAAGAAAGTTACATCAAGAAAGTAGATTATGAGGGTGCCTGGGTGGCTCAGTCACATCTGCCTTTGGCTCAGGTCATGATCCTGGGGTCCTGGGATGGAGCCCCACATTGGGCTCCCTGTTCAGTGAGGAGTCTGCTTCTCCCTCTCCCTCTGCTACTCAACCCTGCTAGTGTTCTCTCTTTCTTGCAAATAAAATCTTTTTTTTTTTTAAAAAAAGTAGGTTATGCTATAAGATTCTATTTTTAAAAATTATGCTCCACACTCAGTGTGGTGCTTGAATTCAGGACTCTGAGATTAGGAGTCACGTGCTGTACTAACCAAGCCAGCCAGGTGTTTCTATATCATAAGACTCTGCAACAGGAGTGTCATGAATGATGTAGTATATACCCAACATGCTGGTCAGTTCTTTTCATGGTGTTAGTTTTCACTGAAATATTATTTGGGGAGAATTTTCTTTTCTTTTTAAAAAAAGTTTAAAAAATGTATTTATTTGAGAGAGAGCATGCAAGAGCAAGCATGAGTGGGAGGGGCAGAGGGAGAGGGAGAGGGAGTCTTAAGCAGACTCTACACTGAGCAACAGAACTGATGTGGGGCTGATGTCCTGACCCTGAGATCATGATGTGAGCTCAAACCACTTGATACATTTATAGTTCTAATGTGGAAATCTTCTCTTCAATTTAGAGCTTCCCTTTTTGGAATTACACTTAGGATATTCAATTAAACATATTTTGGAATTTGGTCATTTAAAGCATAATTCCTAAATGTTTTTTTCTTTTTCTGATACTTGAGAATTCAAAATTGTGTGCCTGAGAACACAAATGCCCTGTATTTCAGGTCCTGTATACCTGTGTAGGATACCTGGTATTCGATCTGCACCAAAACCTGGCTGGGGGAGAAAGGGCAGGGGACTCAGGAAAGTAGAAACCTGAGCTAACTGATGCTTCCTATGCTCCTCCCTCCAGGTCTACCCCACGATGATGCGTGCTTTGGGGATGGGGACCAGTGGCTCCCTGTGTCGGATTGGCGCGATGGTGGCACCATTCATATCCCAGGTACAGCCCAGGAGCCTCTGTAGAGGGGATGAGTCTAAAGGAGATGGGAAAAGCAGGACATTGGGTTCCTTCAAGTTAAGGGTTTAACTGGGGATGTCTGTGTACTTAATGAGTTTTCTTGAGGGGCTCTTTCCCCATCGTGTAGTGAATTTGGGCAGGGAAAGAGGCTAAGTAAATGTTTTCAGGCTTGTAGTTGGTCAATAGCATGCATTTCATTGCACGCAGGGTTTGGATTTGGTGGGCATTGTTGCAGTAAGATGGAAAAGAAATGGAGGACATGAGGAGCTTGAGCAGTTGAATGACACTGGGTTTGAACCCTGACCCTGTACAGGGGTACAATTGAAACATAGTACATGGGAGTGCAGGGAGGGTAAGTCTAGTGCTAGGGCAAACCAGGTACAGGCTGGGATGAAATCCAGGGCCTGGACTCATGAATGGACCCTTGTTTCAGGAGGGAAACAGAGGCATATGTGGGGACCCACATGGTCCTTTTTCCTCAGAGGGGCTAAACACTCGTCAGCATTGGTCCTTCTCTTGTGGCCACAGAATGGAAATCTACCTGAGCTGGCTGCAGCAAAAAGACAAGAGTGAGGCTAGGCCCTGGGAGGGTCTGATCTGAGCAGTGGAGGTGACAGGGACCCAGGCCTTTTCTTATGTCTGTCTGGGTCCAGGGCCACTCCTTGTCCTTTCTGAGCATTCAGACTCTACTGTCCTCTCCCCGAACACCAGTGTGCTATGCTTGCCTGTGTACATGGCCATCCTACCAATCTGAACCATAGATCCTTGAAGCAGCCATCAGAAGACGTGGCTGTACTCTCTCTACATCCCTGAAAAGGGACTCTCACTAGCCAGGCAGGTCAGATGTTCACACTTGAGCTCAGTCAGTTGTGGCCAGGAATCAAGGTTGTCGACAAAGGCAGCTGGGGAAATGCAGTTTTCAAAGAAATGGGGTTCTGGGCTGAGCAGATTGTCATGCATATTTCCTATCATTTAGCACATTTTGCTACCACTAGGCTGTTATACGTTTGTTTTGAACTCTTTTGGGAGTGTTTCCCCCCTGGTTTTAAGGAAAAATGAGGGCAGCTTTTGTCTAGTGATTTCAAAGTTCTTTTATACTGATAGCACCATTTTCAGAAAAGAACATAGTGGTAGAAGACAGAAGTAAAAGATTAATCCTGTTTCTGGATGATCAGGCCACAGTGTAGTTTATCTTCTGGGCTTTAATTAGAAATTGCATTTCTGTTTTCAACCACTCGAAACATGTCTTTTGGGGGTATTTGTGGGTATTTACCCTGGAGGAGTATACAGCTTTTGGTGGCTTTGTGGACGAGGAAAGATCACTAACTGGCTCTTCTGGGGCCATAGGTTCTGATCTGCTTAGTATCCTGCAGCCAGGGAGTCACAACCATTTACAGGTGAATCACTCCTCTCTCTCTGCCTCCCTCAGCCATAAAATAAAAATCAATTATAGCACCCATCAGATAGATTTGTTCTGAGTATTAAAGGGGATTAATACATGGAAAACACAGCCCAACATTTGACACATAGTAAACCCTCAATAAATGTTACCTAATAGCAATGATCACTAATAGTGAAGGCCAAATGCTAAATATTCAAATAAATATTTCTCAATAACAATACTTTCAAGTCCAGTATTTCTTTCTTTTTTAAAAAATTTATTTATTTATTTATGATAGTCACAGAGAGAGAGGGAGAGGCAGAGACACAGGCAGAGGGAGAAGCAGGCTCCATGCACCGGGAGCCCGACGTGGGATTCGATCCCGGGTCTCCAGGATCGCGCCCTGGGCCAAAGGCAGGCGCCAAACCGCTGCGCCACCCAGGGATCCCGTCAAGTCCAGTATTTCAATCAGGATGTGATTAGGATGTTTTGCTTTCTTAAAAGATTTGGAATGGAAGGTCAGAATCTGAGATCTGTTTGCTCCTAGGATATTAGCTTGGGTTTAGGGTGGGGTGAGCTGCTTCAAACAGACAGTAAGGCCTTGGCGTCACGCGTGTGAGCTGATAATCCGTCCGCCGTCTCTTGGACGTGGTTCTCAAACTTGAGCGCGTATCATCAGAATTACAAGGCATAACTTGATAACAAGAAGACTGCTGGATTCCACCCAGAGACTGCTGCTGTGTATGGGACCACCAGTGTAGTTCTAACAAGTACTCAGCTAATCTGATGCAATTGGCCTGTGGACTGCTTTCTGAGAGGCTAAGGCCATCCACAGGGAGAGTATCAACCAGGAGATAAGCTTTACTTTCATTTAATTCTTTGTCTTCCTCCTTCCCTGCTCTCTCCTTCCTGTCCACCTCCTCCCTCTGTCCTCCTCCCCTTCCTATTTTTGCCCTTCATTTAGGAACCTCTTGTCATGACCCATTCAACCCATTGCCTTCAAAGTACTTGTCTGCAAATTGTAAATACAGTTCGGCAGTTAGAACACCAAAGAAAGGACTAACGAACTAGCTGCAATCTATATTTGATGGAATGGAATGGAGAATTATTTCATTCCGGTTCAGTGTTCAGTCAGTGTTTGTTGCACACTTACTCTGTGCCTGGCCTTGTTCCGGCTCCATTTATTTGTAGCCATAAGGAAACTAGATGGGGTTCCAGTGCTGTGTTGGAGCTGCCTATATTGGCTTCTGAAAATGAATTGTTAAATTTTCGGGAAATTTTTCAAGCTGGTTGATGTCATGTCATACCTTGGAATTCCCGCGGTGGTAGTATTTGTACCGGAGACATGGGCACAGGGTAGCAGGAGGGCTCTTCCAGGGAGAGCCTGTTATTCAAGTCTTTGGCAGCACGCCACCACAAGATGCTTGCTTTCCAAAGCCTGACTTTCAAGTTGGGGATTTACCAATAGGCAAATGGTGAGGATAATTTCAGATTATATAAGTGCTTTGGAGGTAATACAATAGTGAATCAAAGTGGTGACAGGTCTTTTTAGCCAAACCTCTCTGGGAAGGGGACATTGGAGTTGAGACCTGAAACATGAGGAGCTGACAACAAACAAGGAGAAGTAGCATTTCAAGTAAGATGCCTGCTGGTACAGGGGCCTGAGGTGCCACCGAGGGTGGGGTGTTCCAGGAAGAGACAGTAGCTGTGATGAGCGGAAGGGACAGATGTGCGGGGAAAGCCAGTGCCTTACAGGCATTGTGAGGACTCGGGAGCTTTTCCTGTGGAGCAGTGGGAGATAATTTCAGGCTTTTAAGCAGGTAAGTAACATAATCCATTTCACATTTTGAAAAGAGCGCTCTGGTTGCTATATAGTGAACCGTGGAGGTGGGTGGGACCAGGGTAGAAGAAGTTTATGGTAAGACTTTAATCTCACGTTGCCATATCCTACTCCTGTGAGAAGAGATTTTTAGAATTCTGGAAAATCATTTTTAGAAAGATAAACTACACAAAATTTAAATTTCTACATAGAAAAAAACAAAACAAAACAAAAAATCAACTGTAAGTAAGGATGAAAGCCAAACGCTTATCTTTCAGGGGTCGCAAATAAGCCTGAATTGCACTGTCCCAGTGACGGCAGTGATTTTGTTGTCTTTTCAAATACCTGGCCTGCTACGTGCAAACCCAGTGAATCAATGCATGAGACTGTACGCAGCACTTCTCAAGTTAATGGGAATGAAAACATCCATTTTGTGTTTTCATAAATGATTTCTAATAAGCAATATTTTTAAAAAAGATTTTATTTATTTGAATGAGAGAGAGAGAGGGAGATAGCACAAGCACAGGGAGGGGCCGAGGGAGAAGCAGGCTCCCCACTGAGCAGGGAGCCGATGGGGGGACTTGATCCCAGGATCATGACCTGAGCCAACGAAGGCAGACGCTTAACTGACCCACCCAGGCGCCCCACTAATAAGCAACATACTTATTGAGAAATCATACATGTATGTTGTCAAAGATAAAGCCAGTCAGGAGCTAAAAAGTGATGAGGACATATTTTGGTCAGTAATAACTTGCAATAGGGACAAAGCCCAAGGTGAACTGAATTCGACGTTGGTTTGCATAGGGGCGACTGGCATTTTACATGGAGAATTTGGGGGTGGGATGGTAGAGTAAGGGAACTGAAAAATTGCAGAATGTGGAAAGGAGGAGTTCGGCCCCTGGGAAACTCAAGACAAAGGTCCTATCTCCAGGTGTTGATGGGAACAAACAATAAATCTGGGGTGGGGGCAGACTTGAATTGCACATGCTGCCACATGAAGGGGGGCTGAGGGTCATCCTGGGGATCTGGCCTTCAGCTGTTGGAAACTGGGCAAGTGTTTGTTCTGGTCTTTCATAGACCACAGTTGCAGCCTGGATGAGAAGAGGTTAGAGCAGTCTGGCTGCGATTGGTCAAGGGGAGGGCCTTTGTCAGTGTTTTGTGGGTCATAAATTGGCTTGTGTTTATTGTATCTTCAGTGATTTGACTTCCATGTGATTGTTGTTTTCTTCTACACTAAAAACACAAAAACTACAAATTTGAATTAAAATTCCACTACCTAATATTTTACCTGACATAACAAATATTTTATTTTTAATTTTTTAAAAGATTTATTTAAGAGAGCACAAGCTGGGAGAGGGGCAGAGAGCGAGAAGTGTACTCCCCACTGAGTGTGGAGCCTGATGCAGGGTTTGATCTCACGACCCTGAGATCATGATCTGAACCAAAATCAAGAGTTAGATGCTTAACCAATTGAGCCACCTGGGCACCCCCAAAATACAAATACTTTAATGAAGCTCTTTCACAATCTACAACTATACGTATGTATGTACATGTATATATAATTTACCCAAATATGACCACAATTCATATACTTTCTAAAATTGAGATATAGTTGACACATAGATGCTAGTTTCAGGTGTACAACATAATGACTGGATATATGTGTATATGTGAGAGTCAATCCCAGGTCTCCAGGATCACACCCTGGGCTGAAAGTGGCGCTAAACTGCTGAGCCACTGGGGCTGTCCACATATCATGTTTCTTTTTTTTTGGAAGATCAA